AAAAAAAAAGTATTTTGTGTGTATTTGTGTAGATTATTTTTTTCTTGGGTTCTAAGACAGACAGATAATTTTAATGAATACCTTAACTATTGTAGAACAAAACCATTCTGCTCCGCCAAGGATTAACAGTTGCTTGAATTTATGAAGAATCTTAGTAGAAAAATGTTTTTGCTTTATACAATTATTGAAGAGTTGCTGCATGACCTACAAGGACAAAATAAAGTAATTATACTTCAATTACACATCAGAGCAGATATGGAACTTTCTTCAGAGTGAAGTGCAGGTCACTGATGTAAGGGGTGCATTCCCCAAAACAATTGTCATAAAGACACAAATAAGGAAAAGTAGTGAGAAATGACAACAGATACTTTTCTGATAAACTTTGGTTTTTCTTACCTTTGATGGAGTTTGGTTGATCTCAACTGGTAAGCTTGATCCTGGAGCATCGTCTACAGCAGAAACCACATGTAATTAATTCAAGAGGAAATGATTTGAGATCTATAGTGACCAATAGTCTCCTTCACAGGCTAACATGTTGGGCTTCCTGTCTCTACAGGGGTTAAACCTTAACACTAACCAAAAAACGCCATACTTTACCAATTGAAGCCCTTCTTATTCTAAGGTTTTTATTTCCACATCAAACTTGATGCTTAACACACTAAGTTAAACACTTACTGGTTCAATTCAATGTAATATTATTCTTAAAATACACTTACCTTTTCTGTCAATGTTAGCTGACATACATTGCATGACATGTACCATCATGGAGCACCTAGTGAACAAGACAACAATCCATATTGAGTATCACACTTTGCACACTATTTTACACTGTCCACTCTACAAACACTATTTCTTTTGTTTAAGCTAATATAGCACTTTGATGTCTTCCCCATCGTTAATAACAACAGCAACAACAATAACAATAACAAAAAATAATAATGATCATAATTATAATCATAATAATCATGTAAGGTTATTCAGTAAAATGGAACCTTTTACATTTGTTCGTTACTAAATCTTGATTATCAATAATTATTAATAAATATTTTAATTAAAACAAGATTAGCAAACCTGTCATTGAATACTGGGTCCATCCCTCTGTCATTTATTGGAGACAACAAAAACTGAAGCAATCTACAAAAAATACAGTTTATAAACAAACAAACAAACATTTTCTATTAAAAAAAGGTGAGACAGCAAAACTCTGCACTTGGGGATATTTCTTGCATTAAGTGTGATGCTACTTGTCTTATGGTCAAGTTTACAAAAATGTTCTATCTTAAAATTGTTTATTTAGACCCTGACATTTGTCCTTGCCATCCAGATTTTACTCAGACATAGAGTAGCATTAAGTGGCTAGGGTTTAGATCTACAACTAATATAAAATAATAACAAAAATTTCTAATAATTTTCACTGCCATACCCTGGCTGTGATGGACGATCTGTATTTTCGGATCTTTCCGATGTAAGGAAGGCCCTTTGTTCCATTCTTAACTCATGAATGTATCCACAGCACCAGGCACAAACACAGATTGCCCAAGCAGGGACCTCGTACTTGATGTGATTAACTAGTTTCTGTAATCAAAGTATAAATAGTTTATTTGCTGCTCAAATTACTACTTTCATGGTATGTAAATACATTATCTATAGAGGGACCACGTTCTTTGTTGTTCAATCAGTTTCATGGTACATAAATGCCTCATCTATACAGGGACCTCATTTTGTGGTGCTCATCTAGTATCATGGCACACAAATGCATCATCTATACAGGGACCTCATTCTTTGGTGCTCAATCAGTTTCATGGTACATTAATCCATCATATCTACAGGGCCCTCATCCATACATCATCTACATCAATCATGTTGCACTACTGCATACCTGTACTGTTTCTGCAGGTGAATGTGATTCATACTGCCATGTTTTAAGCATTTCATGCATAGCAATAGGTACATTACAGCAAAGATCATCCCAGCGAGCATCACTAAAAATTAAATATTGACTCATATTTACTTCCACATAAATACTCTCATGTCAAGTAATAAAGAATAAACAACATCAAATAAAAAAAATTAAAAAAAGAATGCAATGTCATGGTCTACTGGTGGAACAAAGCAGTGTCCTCGCAGGGGGAGGAGTGGGATCACTTTACCTCCAGGGGGGAGGAGAAGGGAAACATTTGTACACATATCCCATCATCCAGTCAATGTACACCTATTTCAAAAACGTTGCAAACCGTGATTGTTGAACAGAGATTGCATGACCAAGAAAGGACTATACACTCTGTTTTAATTGATAAACAAAATTTTCAATTGTATGATTCACCTGGCATAGAAATGGAGACTAAATGGAGCCAATGTTCACCACAGAATATCTTACAGTATAAATCAGTTGTTATTTCCCTTCACTTAGGAAAACCCATGGCTAAGTTTGACAATTGACATTCCCCATTT